CTTTAGCCCACTAGCATCCGTCTCCGCTTGCTGGGTTCGTTGAGTGTCGGAGCTTGAATCAGCTGATGGAAACGGTGTAAAAATCGGACGTTCCCTCTAATACTTTCTATTTGCCTACAGAATTGCGACGTTGAGCACAGCTGGCAGGATGCCGTACACATCGCTACCGCTGGAGTTATAAGGCCTTTGCGCTGTATGAAAAAGCTATGGCGGCTTTGTCAGACATACGTGGCACACTGGCACAACGCTTGTATGCAGTTTATTCCAATAAGTATATATGGAAAAGGGGTTGCACTGTTCTTATTTGTCCCTCTCTTAAAACCTTACCGTTTAATGCATTACTTTTGTGTTCGTCAGCTTTTTCACGTTTGGAGATCTTCCTTCCTTTTGTCAGGGTTTGCTCTGTCAATAATTGCTATTGCACACCGGTGCTCTCAGGGTACCTTATCAAATTGCGCGCCGCAGACATTGCCGATACCTCAACCAACCCCATAGTCACACGAGCCAATGACAGCCAACCATCACTATTGGCCTCTGTGCGCCAGAGTTACCGACCGGCAATGACTTAGGCGCGTCATATTTTATCAGAGTTACGTATAATGCATGGCTGTGTATAAGAGATTCAGAAGTTGGTCTTCTTAATTAGACCTCAGTATTAAATCAATACTGTCTTACAATACAATCTTAAAATGTTGACTTCTAGAGCGGACACCCACGTCACAGGTAATTTTTCAAGTAAAGAAACACACCGGCCAATCATTGTCGCCAGCCTTCTCTGCCACACTACTTATGTCTGAATATGATTTTGCTCCTTCACACTTTTCTGTTACCCATACCTGTAATTCTTATGGATGTGGGACCATCAAGCCTTCCCCTGCAAATCTATGTCACTGTTTTTTTAATCACTAACAGACACCGGACAAACGGCTGAAAATTTACGTTTGCAGATTTGAATCGATGCCGTTGTAAGTCAGTATGTTATTGCTACCACAGTGCTCTATCACCTTCTCAATTTCGTTTTTCCGCAGCAGCCACAAGTACTCAAATTTAGACAGATGTCTTGACAGCGATCCCAACCTGCCCCTTCATCAACAAATCGAGCCCAGTGATGCACCACTTGAGGTAGGGTGAGGCTGGCTAGCGACGGTTAATGAGTCAGAAATGGCTGTTCCACTTTTCCTTCTCCTCGCTAGCACTACTATCTGCATAGACTACTAGCCACTACGGCTGCTGACAGGGTCCGAGAAATGAGGCCCAAGGCAGAGCGGGACGAGTGAGTGTCGGGGTAGATTTATTAGACGTCTGAGATTTCGGGTATTTGTGTCGTCCATTCGTATTCGGAGACTGGACATTCAGGCGCACGGCTCTCGTTATATAGCGCTCCTTTCCGTGTGCATAGTCTGCCAATACAGACTGAGCCGCTGCGTATGGCTCGCATTCCACTATCACTTGTGTGGCCGCAGCCATGCTCCCCTTTCAGGAAGTCAAGTTAGGCGAACGGACATTTTCGATTCACTCACCATCAGGCGTGTACAATAATATAAAGGGGGTAGAGTTAGCAAACGTTTAAGC